ACGGGGCCCAGGGTACACCCTGAGCCGTGGCCCCCCTCAGTCCACGTCCCCTCAGACAGCAGGTCATGCTGGGGACCATAAAGGGTTGAATGTGTCCCCTGCCCAGAGATGCTGAAGTCGTCCCAGGACCCGAGACTGTGACCGTATTTGGAACCTGCATCTGCACCCATGACAGAGTTAAGCTGGGATCACTAGGGTGGGCCCTCACCCCACAGGACTGGACTCCCCATAAAGAGGGGAAGCCGGACAGGCCCTGATACAGGGAGAAGATCTCCAAGGATGAAGACGGAGAAGGGGTGCTTCTCCAGCCAAGGCACCTCCCGGACTCCAGAGACCACGAGGAGAGGGGAGAGGCCTCCCCAGATTCTGCCTACAGCCCTCGGCAGGACCGGACCCCGCCCACAACTTGATCTGGGACTTCCAGCCTCCAGAACCATGTTGTTATTGATGTTTAGTCGCTAAGTCGTCTCTGACTGTTTGCGACCCCATCAGTTCAGTTCAGTTCAGGCACTCAGTCATGTCCAGTTCTTTGCGACCCCATGGACTGCAGCATGCCAGGCCTCCTGTCCATCACCAACTCCCGGAGTCTACTCAAACTCATGTCCATTGATTTAGTGACGCCATCCAACCATCTCATCCTCTGTCATCCATTCTCCTCCTCCCTTCAATCTTTCCCAGCATCAGGGTCTTTTCAAATAAGTCAGTTCTTTGCATTAGGTGGCCAAAGTATTGGAGTTTCAGCTCCGGCATCAGTCCTTCCAATGAACACTCAGGACTGATTTCCTTTAGGATGGACGGGTTGGATCTCCTTGCAGTCCAGGGGCCTCTCAAGAGTCTTCTCCAACACCACAGTTCAAAAGCATCAATTCTTCAGCGCTCAGCTTTCTTTATAGTCCAACTCTCACATCCATACATGACTTCTGGAAAAATCATAGCTTTGACTAAATGGACCTTTGTTGGCAAAGTAATGTCTCTGCTTTTTAATATACTGTCTAGGTTGGTCATAACTTTCTTCCAAGGAGCAAGTGTCCTTTATTTTCATGGCTGGAGTCACCATCTGCAGTGATTTTGGAGCCCAAAAAAATAAAGTCAGCCACAGTTTCCACTGTTTCCCCATCTATTTGCCATGAAGCGATGGGACCAGATGCCATGATCTTAGTTTTCTGCATGTTGAGTTTTAAGCCAACTTTTTCACTCTCCTCTTTCACTTTCATCAAGACACTCTTCAGTTCTTCATTTTCTGCCATAAGGGTGGTGTCAACTGCGTATCTGAGGTTATTGATATTTCTCCCGGCAATCTTGATTCCAGTTCATGCTTCATCCAGTCCATATGTACTCTGCATATAAGTTAAAAAAAGCAGGGTGACAATATACAGCCTTGAGGTACTCCTTTCCCAATTTGGAACCAGTCTGTTGTTCCATGTCCAGTTCTAACTGTTGCTTCCTGACCTGCATACAGATTTCTCAGGAGGCAGGTCAGGTGGTCTGGTATTCCCATCTCTTTAAGAATTTTCCACAGTTTGCTGTGATCCTCACAGTCAAAGGCTTTGGCACAGTCAATAATTAGAAGTAGCTGTTTTTCTGATATTCTCTTGTGTTTTCAATGATCCAACCGATGTTGGCAATTTGCTCTCTGGCTCCTCTGCCTTTCCTAAATCCAGCTTGAACATCTGGAAGTTCACGGTTCATGTACTGGTTTGGAAAATTTTGAGCATTACTTTGCTAGTGTGTGAGGAGTGCGATTGTGCAGTAGTTTGAACATTCGTTGGCATTGCCTTTCTTTGGAATTGGAATGAAAACTGAACTTTTCCAGTCCTGTGGCCACTGCTGAGTTTTCCAAATTTGCTGACATATTGCGTGCAGCACTTTCACAGCATCATCTTTCAGGATTTGAAATAGCTCAACTAGAATTCTATCACCTCCACTAGCTTTGTTCATAGTGATGCTTCTTAAAGCCCACTTGACTTCACATTCCAGGATATCTGGCTCTAGGTGAGTCATCACATCATCATGATTATCTGGGTTGTGAAGATCTTTATTGTACAGTTCTTCTGCGTATTCTTGCCACTTCTTAATATCTTCTGCTTCTGTTAGGGCCATACCATTTCTGTGCTTTATTGAGCCCATCTTCGCATGAAATGTTCCCTCAGTATCTCTAATTCTCTTGAAGAGATCTCTAGTCTTTCCCATTCTATTGCTTTTCTCAATTTCTTTGCAATGATCACTGAGGAAGGTTTTCTTATCTCTCCTTGCTATTCTTTGGAACTCTTAATTCAAACGGGAATATCTTTTCTTTTCTCCTTCGTCTTTCACTTCTCTTTTCTCAGCTATTTGCAAGGCCTCCTCAGGTACCATTTTGCCTTTCTGCATTGCTTTTTATTGGGGTGGTCTTGATCACTGCCTCTTATACAATGTCACAAACCTCTGTCCATAGTTCTTCAGGCACTCTATCAGATCTAATCCCTTGAATCTATTTGTCACTTCCACTGTATAACAGTAAGGGACTTGATTTAGGTCATACCTGAATGGTCTATGGGTTTTCCCTACTTTCCTCAATTTAAGTCTGAATTTGGCAGTAAGAAGTTCGTGATCTGAGCCAAGGTCAGCTCCTGGTCTTGTTTTTGCTGACTGTATAGAGCGTCTCCATCTTTGGCTGCAAAGAATATAATCAATCTGATTTCGGGTGTTGACCATCTGGTGATGTCCATGTGTAGAGTCTTCTCTTGTGTTGTTGGAAGAGGGTGTTTGCTATGACCAGTGCGTTCTCTTGGCAAAAATTAGCCTTTGCCCTGCTTCATTCTGTACTCCAAGACCAAATTTGCCTGTTACTCCAGGTGTTTCTTGACTTCCTACTTTTGCATTCCAGTCCCCTGTCATGAAAACGACATCTTTTTAGGGTGTTAGCTCTAGAAGGTTTTATAGGTCTTCATAGGGCTGTTCAACCTCAGCTTCTTCAGCATTACTGGTTGAGGCATGGACTTGGATTATTGTGATACTGAATGGTTTGCCTTGGAAACAAACAGAGATCATTCTGTCGTTTTTGAGATTGCATCCAAGTACTGCATTTCGGACTCTTTTGTTGACTATGAGGGCTACTCCATTTCTTCTAACTGGATTGTTGCCCACAGTAGTAGATATAATGATCATCTGAGTTAAATTCACCCATTCCAGTCCATTTTAGTTCGCTGACTCCTAAAATGTCAATGTTCATTCTTGCCATTTCCTGTTTGACCACTTCCAATTTTCCTTGATTCATGAACCTAACATTCCAGGTTCCTATGCAACATGGCTCTTTACAGCATTGGACTTACTTCTATCACCAGGCCCATCCACAACTGGGTGTTGTTTTTGCTTTGGTTCCTTCTCATTCTTTCTGGAGTTATTTTTCTACTGATTTCCAGTAGCATTTAGGGCATCTACCAACCTGGCGAGTTCATCTTTCAGTGTCCTGTCCTTTTGCCTTTTCATACTGTTCATGGGGTTCTCAAGGCAAGAATACTGAAGTGGTTTGCCACTCCCTTCTCCAGTGGACCACGTTCTGTCAGTACTCTCCACTGTGACCTGTCCGTCTTGGGTTGCCCTGTGTGGCATGGCTCATAGTTTCCTTGAGTTAGACAAGGCTGTGGTCCATGTAATCAGATTGGTTAGTTTTCTGTGACTGTGGTTTTCATTCTCTCTGCCCTCTGATGGAGACAGATAAGAAGCTTATGGAAGCTTCCTGATGGGAGAGACTGACTGAGGGGGAGACTGGGTCTTGTTCTGATGAGTGGGGCCGTGCTCAGTAAATCTTTAACTCAATTTTCTGTTGATGGGCGGGGCTGTGTTCCCTCCCTGTCATTTGACCTGAGGCCATGGACCGCAGCAAAACAGGCTTCCCTGTCCCTCACCAACTCCCGGAGCTTGCTCAAACTCATTTCCATCGTGTTGATCCCATCCAACCATCTCATCCTGTCATCCCGTTCTCCTCCCACCTTCAATCTTTCCCAGCATCGGGATCTTTTCCAATGAGTCAGCTCTTTGCATCAGGTGGCCAAAGTAGTGGAGTTTCAGCTTCAGCATCAGTCCTTCCAATGAATATTTAAGGTTGATTTCCTTTAGTATTGACTGGTTGGATCTCCTTGCAGTCCAAGGGACCCTGAAGCATCTTCTCCAGCATCACAGTTCGAAAGCATCAATTCTTCCACACTCTGTCTTCTTTTTATGGTCCAACTCTCATATCTGTACATAACTACTGAAAAAATCATAGCTTTTACTATATGGACCTTGGTTGGCAAAGCGATATATCTGCTTTTTAATATGCTGTCTAGGTTTGCTTTTCTTCCAAGGAGCAAGTGTCTTTTAATTCCATGGCTGCTGCCACTGTCCACAGTGATTTTGGAGCCCAGGAAAATAAAGTCTGTCATTGTTTCCATTGTTTCCCCTTCTGTTTGCCATGAAGTAATGGGACCAGATGCCATGACCTTAGTTTTCTGGATGTTGAGTTTTAAGCCAACTTTTTCACTCTCCTCTATCACTGTCATCAAGAGGCTCTTTAGTTCCTCTTCACTTTCTCCCATTAGAGTGGTGTCATCTGCACATCTAAGGTTGTTGACATTTACCTGCACTCTTGATTTCAGCTTGTGATCCATCCGGTCCCGTATTTTGCATGTTACACTCTGCACAGCAGTTAAATAAGCAGGGTGACACTATACAGCCTTCACACACGTCTTTCCCAATTTTGAAACAGTTTGTTGCTCCTTCTCCAGTTCTGTTGCTTCTTGCCCTGCATACAGGTTTCTCAGGAGGCAGGTCAGGCAGACTGGTATTCCCACGTAGGACCATGAGACGCTACAACCCGTGTTTAAACACCCACTCCCTGCGCAGGTGTGGGCAGGTCACGGCAGCCCAGGAGACTGAGCTGGGAACTCGGCAGGAGCCCCGCACACAGCCCTGCCGCAGAGAGGGCTCCGCCGCATGGCAGGCCTGGTGCACACTCACCGGGTGGTCTGAGCTCCCGCTCCTCAGCAACTCCAGGCGGTGTCCCCACCCGGGGCCGGCGGGCCGTTCTTGAGGCCGCTGGACTGGCTGGTCCCTGGGGCCTAAAGGATAAAGACATTCTTCCTGGTGACAGGAGCCTTCAGGCCAAGCCCTTCTCAAGCCACTTTAGGAAACAAATGAACTGTCTGACAGGTAAGCGAGCGTGTGCAATTTTAGAAAGGAATACTGCTGGGGGTCAGGTTCCTCTCTACCACCAGCTTCTGGGGGTCCCAGGTCACCCTGGGGGGGGGCTGGATGGTGGTCCCCAAAGATACATTCACATCCTCACCCCTAGAACTTGTGAAAGGGCCTATGTAGAAATAGCGTCTGTGCAGCCGAGGTTCTACTGCATAAGACTGGGACCTATATTCCGAAGCCAGTGTCCTTACAAGGAGAGACTCAGAGACAAGCTCACAGCGGGAGAGGCCGAGGGAAGATGGCCAGAAGTAGAGCGATCACGCACCAACTGAGGAGCGCCAGGCACGTCCAGCCCCCACTAGGAGCAGCAAGGAAGGACCCTCCCCCGGAGCACCCAGGGGACCACCCTGCCAGCCCGTGATTTCAGATCTCTGGCTTCCAGAACTGTGGGAACAGTAACTGCCGCACTTTTTTGTTTTTTTTTTAGTTCTACCAGTTTATTGCTACCAACCCATCTCCCTCCACCCTCGTGCTCACATGCTCAGTCATGTAATCCCATGGACTTCAGCCCACCAGACTCCTCTGTCCATGGATTTTTCCAGGCAAGAATACTGGAGTGGGTTGCCATTTCCTTCTCCAACTGCTGCACTTATTAAGTCCCCCTCTATCCAGATCTGTCTGCAGCCCCAGGCACCCACAGGATGTCCCTGTCCCCTTTGCTTCAGCAGAATTCAAGTCATCCAGAGCAGATGTTCCACGGCCCAGGTAAGGTGGGCGCAGACCCCATCGCACAGGCCAGGTGTGGACGCAGGTGGGAAGGCCTGGGGCTGCCCCGCCCACCCTGGGATGTCTCCTGGGGCTCCCCTGGACAAATCCCGGGGCGATACTTACAGAGCCACTTAGCATATTCCAAGTTCCTGCAAATCAAAAAGGAGAGAGAAATGAAAACAAATCATATTAACCGTTATAGTGATATCTGTGAGCGAGAGGAAGTACTTTAAATTTACAACAAAGAAAGTGCATTTACAGTTACAGAAAAAAACTGACTGGAACACCTGTGCAGCTGGGAAGACAGGAGGGACACTTGCTCAGTAAGCCTCCCCAGCACGCGGCACTGCCTCCCCCAGGACCCCCTGGGCTGGGGCAGCACCAGTCTGTCCCTGCTTCCAGGCCCAGAGTGCCCGGGACACCCTGTGTCCAGCAGCGGACCTGGCCCTGCATGTCGGGAGGCACACAGCAGGTGGCTCTGAGCTCACACACACGTGAGGCCCCAAGTTAGAATGTGAACTGATCTGAATTTTATACCAGAGGCTCCTGCCCGGTCACACCGACCCCAAACCCCTTCTCTGAGCTCCTGATGCCTTTGTTGACCTAGCTTCCTCCAGGTCAGCATGACTCTGACCAACCTTTTCTTCTACGGCTGACAGCAAAACAGCATACAGGAATTGAGCCGATGATGATGATGAAGTAGATGGTGGTGCAAATGTGCACAGCCACACCCATGCAGGCCCATGGTGACCCCGGGTTTCCTGGAAGGAAGCAAAACAGAGGATGCTGTCACAGGGTCAGGCACCCTTTCCTCACCCAAGTGACTGCTCTCTCAGGAGTGGGCGCAGCACCAATGCGCTCCAGACCGCCACGCACTCCTTCTCTGTCGCTGACAGTTGCCATGACCTCCCCAGTGGGAGGCAGCCAGGCTCACCGTTCCTGCTCACATGGAACCCTGGGTTCAGAGGCCGTGGGGGATTTTGCTCTGGTCCCTCGAAGCAGCAGGTCTGACCTGTCAGCAGGGCAGCAAGAGGCCCTGCGTCCCGGGACATGCTCAGGGGGGCGTGGGGGCAGCAGCACATACACCCCTGGGCCAGCAGGCGGCAGAGCCTGGAGGGGACTGGCAGAGGCGGGCGGCAGTCTTCCTGGCACCCAGGCTGGGCCACGCTGGCCCAAGGGACAGGGCAGGGTCCGCCCTGGGGAGACGCGTGGCACGAGCACTGGGCTGTCTCCTCACTCTGCTGAGCTCCCAGCACCCACAGGAGCTGCGGCCACAGCAGCGCAGGCCCCTCGGAGCTTGGGCCGCTCGGCCGCCCTGATGTGGCCAGCCACCAAGGAGCAAGCAGGAGGGAGCAAGTCGTCCACGCGGCACCCTCACTCTGCTTAAAGGCTGTTCTCTACTCTCAGAGTAGCCCTTCCTCATTCTGTCTTACTTCTGGTGTTAAGAGAGCCTTTAAAAGTGTTGGTAGGTTATAGAGGGAACCTACCTCAAGATAATAATGGCCATTGCAACAAACCCACAGCAAACACTGTACTCGATGTGAGAAGATGAACACATTTCCTCTAAGATCAGGAACAGACAAGGATACCCACTCTCACCACTAATATTCAACATTGTCTTAGAAGTCCTTACCACAGCAAACAGAGAAGAAAAAAAAAAAAATGGAATCCAAATTGGAGAAGAAGTGAAACTGTCATTGTTTACAGAGAAAACCCTAAAGATGCTACAGAAAACTACTAGAGCTCATCAGTGAATCTGGTAAAGTTGCAGGATACAAAATTAATACACTGAAATCTTGCATTCCCACACACCTACAATGAAAGATTAGAAAAAGAAATCAAGGAAACAATCCCATTTACCACCACAATAAAAAGAATACAATACTGAGGAATAAACCTACCTAAGGAGGCAAAAAGATGTATACTCTGAAAACTATAAATTACTGATGAAAGAAATAGAAGATGACAAAAACAGATGGAGAGATATCCCATGTTCTTGGATTGGAAGACCGAACATTGTGAACACGACTGTATTACTCAAAGCAGTCTACAAATTCAATGCAAGCCCTATCAAATTTATCAATGGCAATTTTCACAGAATCAGGACAAAAAAATGCCACAATTTGTATGGAAACACAAAAGACCCCAAATTGCCAAAGCAATCTTGAGAAAGAAGAATGGAGCTGGAGGAATAAGGTCCCTGACTTAGACTATACTACAAAGCTGCAGTCATCAAAACAGCATGGTACTCACACAAAAACAGAGACTAATGGAATAGCACAGAAAGTCCAGAGAAAAACCCAGCACCTCTGGCCGCCTGACCTCTGAGGCCACCTGACCTCTGACAAAAAAGGCAAAAATACACAATGCAGCAAAGACAGTCTCTCTAAAAAGCGGTGAAGGGAAAACTGGACAGTTAAACATAACAGAATGAAAGCAGAACACTCTATAACACTGTACACAACAATAAACTCAAAATGGATTACAGACCTAAATGTAAGGCTGAATGCTATAAAATTCTTAATAGGAAAACGTAGGCAGAAGAGGCTTGGTACACGTTGCAGTAAGATCTTTTTTGATCCACCTCCGAGAATGATAACAAAAACAAACAAATGGGACCTAGTTAAACTTAAAAAGCTTTTCACAGCAAAGGAAACTATAGGCAAAATGGAAAAAAAAAACACACCCTTCAGAATGAAAGAGAATATTTGCAAAGAAAGTAACAGACAAGGGATTAATCTCCAAAATATACAAACAGCTTATGCAGTTTGCACCAAAAAAAGAAACCAATCAAAAAATGGGTGGAAGATCTGAATAGACATTTCTCTGAGGAAGACACACAGATGGCTAAAAAGTACACGAGAAGATGCCCGACATCACTAATTACTAGAGAAATACAGATCAAAACTGCAATCAACTATCATTTCACACCGTTCAGAATGGCCATCAGCAAAAACTCTACAAACAATAAATGCCGCAGAGGGCGTGGACAGATGGGAAACCTCCTACACTCATCTTGGGAATGCATATCCGTACAGCCACTGTGGAGAACAGTGTAGAGGTTCCTTAAAAAACTATAAATGGAACTCTGACATGATCCAGTGATCCCATTTCTGGGCACATATCCAGAGAAAACTCTTAATTTGAAAAGATACATGCACCCTGATGCTCGTAGCATGACTATTCACAACAGCCTAAACGTGGAAACATTAATGTCCATCAGAGAATGGACAAAGAAAACGTGGTACATACTTAAAATGGAGTATTACTCAGCCACTAAAAAGAACAAAATAATGCTATTACAAAATGGAATATTACTCAGCCACTAAAAAGAACAAAATAATGCTATTTACAGGAATATAGATGGACCTACAGACTGTCATACTGAGTGAAATAAGTCAGACAGAGGAGAAATATTGTTATGACATCCCTTATATATGGAATCTAAAAAGAAAGGATACAAATGAACTTATTTACAACAAAGAAACAGATTCACAGAATGAATTTATGGTTGCTCAAGAGGGGAAGACAGAGGAGAAGGGATAGTTGGGGAGCCTGGGATCCACATGTATCTGCTGCTGTAATTTAAAATGGATAACCAACAAGGTCCCACTGAATAGCACAGACAAATGTGCTCGATGTTATATGGCAGCTTGGATGGGAGGGGACTTGGGAGAGGGTCTGTTAGTCGCTGAGTCGTGTCCAGCTCTTTGTGACCCCATGGACTGTAGCCCATCAGGCTCCTATGTCCACAGAGTTCTCCGGGCAAGGATACTGCAGTGGGCTGTCATTTCCTTCTCTGTTGGGAGAGAATGGATGCATGTATATGTATAGCTGAGTCCCTTTGCTGTCCACCTGAAATTATAATGCCCAAAAGGGTCCGTCTAGTCAAAGCTGTGGTTTCTCCAGTGGTCATGTATGGATGTGAGAGCTGGACCATAAAGAAAGCTGCGCGCCGAAGAATTGATGCTTTTGAGCTGTGGCGTTGGAGAAGACTCTTGAGAATCCCTTGGTCTGAAAGGAGATCCAACCAGTCCATCCTCAAGGAGACCAGTCCTGGGTGTTCAATGGAAGGACGGATGCTGAAGCTGAAACTCCAATACTTTGGCCACCTGATGCAACGAATTGACTCCTTAGAAAAGACTGTGATGCTGGGAAAGATTGAAGGCGGGAGAAGGGGATGACAGAGGATGAGATGGTTGGATGGTGTCACTGACTCAATGGACCTGAGTTTGAGCAAGCTCCGGGAGTTGGTGATGGTCAGGGAGGCCTGGCGTGATGGAGTCCATGGGGTCACAGAGAGTCGTACACGACTGAACCACTGAACTGAACTGAACTGAAAACTGTAATTGGCTATACTCCAACGTGGCTTCCCAGGTGACACAGAGGTAAGGGATCCGCCTGCCAAAGTAAGAGACCTGGGTTCTATCCCTCAGTCGGGAAGGTCCCAGGGAGAAGGAAATGGCAACCCACTCCAGTATTCTTGCCTGGGAAAGCCCATGGACAGAGGAGCCTGGCAGACTGCAGTCCATGGGGTCGCAGAGCGTTGGACATGACTTAGTAACTGTGCGTGCACACATGCATACTCCAATATAAAACGAAAAGTTAAACAAACAAGGAATGGATAACGAAGATGTGGTACATATATCCTATGGAATATTACTCAGCCGTAAAAAGAAAATAATGCCATCTGCAGCAACATGCATGGACAGAGAGATTGTCATACTGAGTGTAAGTAAGAAAGAGAAAGACAATTATGTGATATCACCTGTATGTGAAATCTAAAAGATGGTTACATATGAACTTATCTACAAAACAGAAGTAAAGTTACAGATGCAAAATCAAGCTGCTAGTTACCAGTATCTGTGTGTGGGGGGGAGGGGGGCAGGGATAAAGTTGGAGAAGGGGAATGACACATAGACGCTTCTATATATAAAAGAGATAACTAATAAGGATCTGCTGTGTAACACAGGGAACCCTACTCAATACCCTGTTACGATCTATATGGGAAAATAATCTCAAAAAGAGTGGACAGAGGATTTCCCTGGTGGTACACTGGCTAAGAATTAAGTCTGCTAATGACTGGGACACAGGTTCACTCTCTGGTCTGGGAAGATTCCACATGCCCTAGGATAACTAAGCCCGTGTATCACAGCTTCTGAAGCCCGTGTACCCTAGAGCCTGTGCTCGGCAACAGAAGATGCTACTGCAACGAGAAGCCCGCATACCACAACTAGAGGGGAGCCCCGCTCTCTGCAACTAGAGAAAGCCCTCATGCAGCAAAGAAGACGCAGCACAACCAAAAAATCAAAGTAAACAAATTATCTTTTTTAAAACTGATTCACTTTGCTGTACCCCTGAAACCAGCACAACATTGTAATTCCACTATACTCCAGTAAAAAGCAAAACACTTCTCTGTTACTCATATCAGCGGGAAATCAAGAAGCTTATTTAAAAATGTAAATGTAAATGATGACCTTGGGGAAGGTGGCAAGGGGGACTCGGGTTCCAACGAGAAGGCCAGCAGGAAGGTAGAGCAGACCCTGGAACAGAGAGAAGCCCAGGGGGACACGGTGCTCACTGATGACCCAGTAACACTCAGGGTGGAGAAGAGACTATATTCAAAACACGATGCGGTGTCGCCCATGTGTGCAGTGGGAAAAACCCCTCGCTCACACCACACGGACACCACTGCGGTCCTGCACCATGGTAAAGAGAAGCTGCTGGCAGGTCACGAGACAGAACACCTTCTCCAGCTGAGCAAAGGTTTTTCACTCAGGACAGGAAGAACACCAAGCCTGGCAGAAAACAGCCACAAACCTGACCTGGTTAAAATGAAGGACCTTTATCCACAAGAGGCCCAGATACCCCAACACAAAGAGCTTGTGCCCCACGTTTATAAGTAATTATCAATGTTTCTAGATAAGCATCAAAAATGAGAGAATAAAAACCCAGACAGCCCATATAAAAATGGGCAAGACTTCAGCAGAGACCGGGATGAACCCAGAGATGATCACACGAAGTGACGTCTGCGAGACAAACACCCCGTGAGATCCCTTATCCGAGGAATCTAAAATATGACACAAATGAACTTAGGAAACGAGGGCAGACCCACAGACATAAAAAAACAAACTTATGGCTACCAAAGAAGTAGTGGTGAGAGAAGGATAAATAAGGAGCTAGAGATGAACAGACTCACATCACTGTATACAAAACAGGAAAACAAGTCCTACTGTATAGCACAAGGAACTACATTTAGTATCCTGTGATAATAACCACAATGGAAAGGAATATGAAAAAAGAATATGTATGTATATATTTGCTGTTGCTGCTCAGGCGCTCAGTCATATACAACTCTTTGGACCCACGGACGGCAGCACGCCAGGCTTCCTTGTCCTTCACCATCTCCTGGAACTTGCTCAAACTCATGTCCATCGAGTGGGTGATGCCATCCAACCATCTCATCCTCTGTCCTCCCCTTATCCTCCTGCCTTCAGTCTTTCCCAGCATCAAGGTCTTTTCCAAGGAGTCAGGTCTTCTCATCAGGTGGCCAAAGGATTGGAGTTTCAGCTTTAGCATCAGTGCTTCCAATGAATATTCAGGACTGATTTCCTTTAGGATGGACTGGTTGGATCTTGCAGACCTTGAAGACTCTCAAGAGGCTTCTCCAACACCACAGTTTAAAAGCATCAATTCTTTGGCTCAGCCTTCTTTAAGGTCCAACTCTCACATCCATACATGACTATTGGAAAAACCATAGCTTTGACTATATACATGTATATGGGGCTTTCCAGGTGGTGCTGAGTGAGTGAAAGTTGCTCAGTTGTGTCCAACTCTTTGCAACCCTATGGACAATAAAGTCCATGGAATTCTCTAGGCCAGAATACTGGAGTGGGTAGCCTCTCCCTTCTTCAGGGAATCTTCCCAACCCAGGGATTGAACCTAGGTCTCCCTCATTGCAGGCGGATTCTTTACCAGCTAAGCCACAAAGGAAGCCCAGGAATACTGGAGTGGGTAGCCTATCCCTTCTCCAGTGGATCTTCCTGATCCAGGAATGGAACCGAGGTCTCCTGCATTGCAGGCAGATTCTTGACCAGCTGAGCTATGAGGAAGCATGTAGCACTAGTGGTAAAGAACCCGCCTGCCAGTGCAGCAGATACAAGAGACATGGGTTCAGTCCCTTGGTTTGGAAGATCCCCTGGAGGAGGGCATGGCAACCGACTCCAATATTGTTGCCTGGGAGAATCCCATGAACAGAGGAGCCTGACATGCTACATTCCATGGGGTCGCAGAGAGTCGGACACGACTGAAGTGACTTAGCACACACACACATATACATGTGTGTGTGTGTAACTGAGCCACTTTGCACCAATGTAAATCACCAAGACTCCAACTTAAAAAAAGAAAAGGAAAATAGTCTTGCACAGATTTGCACAGATACTAGTAGTGGGGCATCAATTCTGCTGGGGGCATGCACCCAACTCATGTTCCTAAGTCCCGTCTGAGGCCCCGCCAAGCAGGGACGTGGCCAGGTGTTGGGATGTCAGGAAGGGCAGGTCTTACAGGGCTGTCAGTCCCTTCTGCCTGCTACCTGGTCAAGTCTAGGGGGCGCAGACTTAGCCCACACGGCCAGAACTCATGGGACGAGGACAAGGAAGCCATGACTTGTCCACAAGGATTCTGCTCAATCAAGACAGAGTCTACGAACGATGACCCGTGGCCCACAGCCCACTTTTATGAACAAAGTTTTACTGACACATAGCCAACCACCTCTGATCACAGCCTCTAGGCTTATTTACAGCAGCAGAGATGAGTTGTGACAGCAGGGACTTCGGGACCCTCAGAGCCTCAACCTTGGCCTTTACAGATTTAAGAGATGGAATCAGGCCCTTACCTGACTGTGGATTTGTGGCACAAACCGTATCACTTGTGGCATTGCAGGATTGAAGGACGGCACTGTCTTCACACCTGAGAGAAGAATAAAGAAATTGTGAGCATCATTTCCCCTTGCTTGGGCCGACCCAAAGAATCTTACTCACCACCCACCGGTCAGGGGTTAGAGGGACCAACCCAACATCCTCAGCAGGCCCATGAGGTTTCAGGTCACCAGTGTCCGGCATGTGCTGGGCTATCTGGCCCACACTGGATCAATGAGAATAAACTTAGGACTCTCTGATAGATGGGGGACAGAGCTCTGTCCGTGTCCCTGGATGGAGCTCTGTGTGTGGCCACGAGGACCGGACCTGCCGTGGCCGTACCTCTGCCAGGAGGGAAAGCAGCCCGAGATGCAGCTCGTGGAGAAGGGGACGAGCCTGAGCTGATCAACCCAGACCTGGAGGCGGTCCTTCCTCTGGACTTGGCAGGGTCCTGAGCCAACAGCGCAAGCTGGTCTGAGTTGTATTTAAGCATCTACAAACGCAGGTGATTTTACCAGTGGCTTTACCACTGTGAGAGTCTTCCTCAAAGTCTGCTCCAAATCTAAGCCCAGCAGAAACCACAGAACGCAACCTGATGTGGAAACAGGGTCTCTGCAGATGTAACCCTTTAAGAAGAGGTCACACCGGATCAGGGTGGGCCTCAGTCAGTGACCAGCATCCTCACAAGAGGGAAACTGTATGCACACAGAGAGAAGGCCATGTGAAGATGCTGAGACAGAGCGCACGGGAGAAGATCCCTGGAAGGCAGAAGCAGAGACTGAAGCGATGCGTCCACAAGCCAAGGAGCGCCAAGGAGTGCCGGCAAAGCCGAGGAAGCGAGAGAGATTCTTCCCCGAGAGCCTACGGAGGGAGCCTGGCCCTGCTGACACCTCGATTTCCGACTTCCGGTCTCCAGAACTGTGAAAGAACACATTTTTCTTGTTTTTCAAAAGCCTCCCGGTCGTGATGCTTTGTAACATCAAGGACAGAAAACACGCACTGGCCATCCCATCTGGGCCCCAGGGCCTGGGGGGCACCCCCCTGCCTACAGCTCTCCTCCCCCTGGACGTCCTGTGGCTCCATCGTCCATCCCGCCCTCCCTGGCCTCCACTCTAGGGCCCTGTCTCCTGCAGCCCCTCTGTCTCTCATGAGCCCATCACTGCATATGTGTTGGGATGTTCTCCACCACTGCTGGGGCCCAGACCTACAATACGACCTTGCAGGCCACAGCGGGGCTCACAGTCATACATGAGTGAGTGACTGAAAGAAGGAAGAAATGAATGAGCGATGACTCCAGTTCGCCCCCATGTGGAAACCTCCAGGTGACTCGTCTGCCTTAATCCTCAGGGCTCCTCACTGGGGCCGGTGCTACCATTAGCCCCATTACACAGATGGGAAAACAGAGGCTCTGGGCAGGGGGTGGCTGAGTAAGTGACCCGAAAACAAACAGGCAGTGAGTGGAGAAAAGAGCCCCCACCCAGGCCTGCTGGCCGGCTCCCACCGCTGGGTGGTACCTTGCGCACCGGATGCAGCTTTCTGTGCAGTCCACGGAGTCGCAGAAGAACTTGCCCTGCCGGCACTGGCACTCCTGGTCGCTGGTCGGGGAGCAGTGCTTCACCACTTCCTGATCTGCTGGAGGTGGGCTCAGGGTCAGTCACCGGGGCCTGGACTCCGTCCTGTCCCCCGGCCTCGTCCAGGTTCAGTCAAAGGCTCAGCACATGCACCCACCTCCAGACCTCACCCCTGCCGGCTGGGTGTCGGAGGAGGAGCGGTGGGTGCCCCAGCGATCTGGGCTGGGGGCAGAGGGCCAACTGCTCAGATACACCCCAAATCAACATGTCCACTCATTTCTCCAGGAAGATCAGAACAGCCCTACTCGGCGTGGACCGAGAACGGTCTCTCTCAGCATCGCTGGAGGGTTCTGCCCTTCCACCTGCAAAGGGCTGGGTCCCGGAGCCGCACCCACATCTCACATCTATGCGGCTCTTTCCACGGGGCCAACTCTCTGCCCAAGCGTGAACATCGCTCTGCCTCACTGCCTCTGCTCAGAGTCTAATACCAGGGGCAGCTAGGGTGCTATCTTGGTTTTCATCTTCCAGCAAAGAAGGAAGCTGTTCCAGCAGGTGTCAGCACAGCATGTTCATGACAACTCCTGCTGGGACGTTTTTACCTTTTTTTAAAAAATTTTTATTTATGCATTTAATTTTGGCCGTGCGGTTCTGCCCTGCTATGTACACACTCTCTCCAGTTGTGGCAAGTGGGTGCGACTCTTTGCTGTGGCTTCTCATTGTGGTAACTTCTCTTCCTGCAGGGTACGCGCTCTAGTGCGTGTGGGCACAGCGGTTGCAGCCCACGGGCTGAGCTGCTCTCGGGCATGTGTGATCTTCGAGAAGCAGGGGATGAACCTTTGTGCCCTACATCAGCGGGTGATTCTTAACCACTGGACCACCAGCAAAGTCTCATATTTTTTACCTCTTAAAAATAAAAATTGTATCAGTTTAAAGTCTATGGCAAGATGAATTGATTTATACATTGATATACTGAAATTTTCATTGGGAATGCACAAAAATCTAAGCACCATTCCAAGAAAAACTGATCCTTATAAAACACTAAACGAGGTCCCTGGTGGTCCAGTGGTTAGGACTTGAAGCTTTCACTTCCGGGGCCCAGGTTCAACTCCTGGTTGGGAACTAAGATGTTGCAAGCCACACAGCACAGCCAAAACAAAAGGAAAACAAAACCCTGAGCCTTCTTGTTTACTATATTGTGGTATTTCTCTCTGTATTTGTGTTTCATTAAAGGTAGTTTTTTCACATGTATATTTACACATGCTTTACTAGATTCATTCCAAAAATTTTTTTTTTTTTTGCCAATGCAAGTGGTATTTTTAAATTACTTTTCAAAGGTGGTGGAGGGGAGGCTGAAGAGGAAGGGCATACAAACATACACTTAGCTAATTCACATTTTTGTACCGTGGAAACTAACACACCATTGCAAAGCAATTACCCTCCAGTTAAAGGCAAATAAAATGGAAAATTACCTATTTAAACAATGTCATCGATACACAGAGATAGAAGAACTTCTGTGCACCATGCTGATACTCAGCAAGTCTGAGACCCTAATGACCTGTAGCTGCTTCTTTAGGCAACACACACCTCATCGTGACCAACATCCCTGGTGATGGCTCCCGAAACCCTCCTCTGGGGCCGTTCACTGCCTCTGGGGAGGTGCCCACGGGCCGGGTCGACGGGGCATGGGAGCGAAGCTGCCACTACTCACCCTCTCTGCACTGGGCACACAGCATGCACTGGGTCTCCACGCTGGGATGAGCTCTGAAAGTTCCAGACTCGCACGGCGAGCAGGCTCCGATGGGGTGGTCCTGGCTTATGGGTCTGCTTACGTGATAGCCTGCACGAGGTGGGACACGGAGGGGAGGTGGGGACCCCGCCCAGTCAGCTGGAGGAGGTCCCGAGGCACCTGGAGACCAGACTCCCTGCACAGTACCTCCAACCCACCCCGGTCTCCTGGGAACAGCTGGACTGATCCCAGGCCACAGGTATCCGTCCCAGAGACTAGGGACCCAGATCACCCCCCAGCTTTTACCGAGGCCTTGCAGCGCGTGGGCGCTGGAGCAAGGTCACAAGACTTCAAGTCAGACCAACAGCGTCCCTTTGTTCCCTACATGTGGTTCGTGCAGGTGTGCGTGTGAATGCAGAGATGTGTGTGTGTGAACGTCTGCAGTGTGTGTACAGGTGGGTGGGCTGGGGAGCATGGGGAGGGTACGGGGCTATGGGTCCAGGTAGCAGGTGCTTGGGCTCTGAACCACGGGCCCCTGGAAGGCACAGGTTCCCAGACAAGATGCGGCCTGTGTGCAGGTGTGCGCGACGGGGGATACCCGTGGGGACGGGACAGCTGCCCCTCACAGAGGGGCTGGGAAGGGACTTCGCTGATCACATGGGCGTGTGTGTCTGTGTGTGTGGACGGGGTTCAGGGTGCCGGTGGCTGCCAAGGACAGACTCTCCCCCGCCCCAGACAGCCGGGTTCTCCCCACAGGCTGCGCCCAGCTCTGTTCAAAGGGTCCCCGACCTCCCCTCTCCCAAGCAGGAAGTCTTCCCTGAAAATCACCCCAGACTCACCAGCCGGGCAGACTCTGCTGCAAGAAGGGTTGCCTGGAACCTCATATTCGTCTGGGTGACACATGGTCTCCGCTGTTGCCATAGTCACCTTGGATGAGAGAGGGGACATGGGCATTTTCAGAAGATGTCTCCGCTCCTGATGGAAGCAGACACTGACACCCCTGAGCAGGGAGTGCCAGCTCCCCGGGGTACTGCCTCCCTTGTGGAGAGGACGCTGTTGGGCAGGCTCAGGCCGGGGGCTTTCCTCGGCCTCCTTGCGGCTCCGCTCACAGTATGGAGCAGGGTTATGTGGGGAACACGCTCCTTCATCCCCAAGTGCGTGTGGGTCTGTTGACACCTCCGTGGCTGACGTCTATACCCTGTGCCTGGTCAGAAGTAGGCCCTTTGTGGTCGTGATCCTTTGGAATTTAGTGAGTCTTTGATTTTCTTCTAGCATACAGTTCATGTTTTCAGCAGTTGCACACAGACTTTGCCAAGAAAGGACACTGTCTATGTGTTGGGAACAGGGGTCTGAGCGTCTGTGTATCGTGAGTGTGCACGTCATGGCGCACGTGAACGTGCACACACACCAACACAGAGGAGCCCGTCAATTACAAGGTCCCGATCACTGCACATCCCCACTGATCTCCTATCCTGCTCAACTCCTTGGCTCGGAGGGACATTAAGCTCTCGTACCAAGTTTGCGGACTCTAGATTTCATCATGTAATTACGTCATTCTTTGCTCTCTGTATTTTGAGGTGTTACTGTTTATATACGATTTCACGTTTGTTTCTCTAGGACAGTTGAGCCTCAGTTGTTTGCTGAATTCAGTGTTTCTGAACTTGCCTACTTACTGAAATGTGTTTGTTAAGACCAAGCATGCCGTGTGACTCGGCAAAAAGGAAAGGAAAGCAAGGACTCCAAGCCAGTCTCACCTGGTGTTCTGAAGGACAGAAGGCTGTGAAGTGTCTACACATGTAGAAAAAAGGCATCTTATATAAACTTTGTAGAGGCAGGCCATACAGTGCCACTGGCCGTGAGTTCCCAGGTAGTGAATTAAGTCTATATTAAATCAGGTGTCTTGAAACAGAAACACACGTAAACCAAGATTACATACTGCCAGGTTGATGACAATGTGCTGACAGAGGCTCACAGGAACCTAGCCGTGGTTTCCTCTACGGATGTGGTCTGGGTGGTTAACTCTGTACTCAAAGCGATCCTATCACAGGTGAAAGCGGGACGCACGATCCGCTGTTACCTCGTCTGAGGCTTGCCCCTCTGGTCACCGAGTCGGGGATGCTTTCTAGCCTGCACGCTCTCCGATCTGACTGTGACGATGCTGTGAGTGAGAATATGCTTGGCTCGTACCCTCTGTCTGTCCGCCTGCACTACAGGAGGCTGTTTCTGCCGTAAGACTGTCTCTTAGGTACAAAACTTTTCTAATTCATCCTGATAATTCACAAATGAGTTTAACCTGCTTATATGCACTGGCTTCGCACTCTCAGTCGATTTCTACCATCTCCTCTTCTGCTCCCGATATCACATTTTCTCTATGATTTCTTTTCTCCCTTTCTTTTCCGACTTCTGCTTCCCTTATGCCCTGTCTTCCAGATCCTTTTTTTTTTTTTGCCCCCTGATGGCAAACACTCTATTTGTATTTTTTTTCTGATTTATTTTTCACCTTAGTAAAAAATGAAGCAAAAACTCACAGAGAAAAAGTACTTGAATAGCTTTAAAGAAGAAAATCTACCTTACAAAAAAGTAGATTATTCTTCTCTCGAATCATCAATAAATGCTAACATTCATAAATGAATATGAGAGAAAAGAACAGTTACATGATTTCAAAGCAACTCCACATAAGATACTTGGTAACGACACAGGGAAACAGTGATTTTACAGCAAAGAAACCTGGCAGCCAGCACCTGAACCAAGCCTCCAGAACCCAACATCACCGAGACAGTATTTTCACTGCAAATGAGAAGCCATGAGATAAAGCCAAATTGAGAAACACGCTATTATACGATCTGTCAGCGCCGTTCAACCGTGCTAAGGCTACGGAATAAAGAGATAGTTCCATGGAGATTAAATATGAGCTCATTCGTTTTTTGAAAAATTCAACTCACGCAATGAGCAACGGTACAGAGGGTGCTTTCGGTAAGGATGCACCGTTAAAGAAGCTGGTAGAGTCTCTCACCAGCATAGCCAATTGGATTTTCCTGACGAGGTAAATCTGCACCCATGACTAGACAGCAATGACGGTTCAAGAGAGTCAGAGAGAGGGCTTCCTCGGCACTCCAAGGCTAAGCCTCGAGCTTCTAATGCGGGCAAGGTGAGTTTGACCCTGGTCGGGGAACTAATCCCACAGGCTGGGAAATGAAAGGATAAGAGAGAGGAACGAACAGCCCAAAGGCAGTGAGGACGGGATGTAAAGAAACACAGTCAAGTTGAGGAGTGAGTCAAGAAGGGTCTCATAGAAGCGAAATTTTATTTTCTGAAGAAATATACTTCGGACTGCTTCAGAGGAGGAACCAATTATTTTGAAATTTTTAAGAGATAACTAATCTGTGCCCGTTACTCTCAGGGTGGAGGACAAACAAATGGGTGTCAGACTTGGACCATAAAGAAACGATGCAGTCACACTGCGGGGCTGAGAAGACTCCTGAGAGGCCCTTGGACAGCAAAGAGATAAACCAGGCAATCCTAAAGGAAATCAACCCTGAATATCCTTTGGAAGGACTAGAGTTGAAGCTGAAGCTCCAATACTTTGGCCACCTGACGGGAAGGGCTGATTCAATGGAAAAGACCCTGATGCTGGGAAAGACGGAGGGCAGGAGGGGAAGGCGACGACAGGATGAGATGGTTGGATGGCATCACGGAGTTAGTGGACATGAGTTTGAGCAAACTCAGGGAGATGGAGATGAACAGGGAAGCCTGGTGTGCTACAGTCCACGGGGTTGCAAAGACTTGGAGACGACTTAGAGTCTAAACAACAACAATAAATGAAACTACTGAAACTACAAGCAAGGGTGAGTGGATCATTAGGTACAGTGGAAAAGAAATGAATACAAAGCGTTTCTTTTTATCCACAGTTTCACCAACAGGTTTGTGTTTAAAAGTGAAACAAAATGGGATAAATCCATACAATGGAATATTATGGATGAGCCTTGAAAAACATGAATGACTCTTGAAAACCTTATGCTAAGTAAAAGAAGTCAATCATAAAGCTCATGTATTTTATGATTTCATTCATATGAAATGTTTAGAATCGGGAAACTAGAGACAAACAGTAGATTAGTGGTTGCTTAGGGTGAGGGGAGATGGGGAGATATGGTCAGTCGCTCAGTCGTGTTGGACTCTTTGTGACCCCAAGGACTGTAGCCTGCCGGGCTCCTCTGTCCATGGGGATTCTCCAGGCAAGAATACTGGAGTGGGTTGCAATGCCCTCCTCCAGGGGATCTTCCCAACCCAGAGATCCAACTGAGGTCGCCTTCATTGCAGGTGGATTCTTTACCTTCTGAACCACCAGGGAAAAAAAATGGGGAGACAGGGGTTGATTAAAAAAAGGATTTCTTTTTGAGGGGAAAAATGTTCTAAAATAGACTGTGGTGGTGGTTACATAGATCGTGAAAATACTGGAAAAAAAAGTATTTAGATGGGTGGAACCGTATGACGTGTGAATTACTACTGTTTTAACACATTTTCATTGAGTTCGCTGCTGGGCCGTGCGGGTCCTCACGGCTGCTGCGCGCGTGGTCGTCCCGCTGCAGCAGCGTCTCTCATTGCAGAGCGCAGGCTCTAGAGCCTGGGCCCAGCAATGTGGCGCTCAGGCGGAGCTTCCCTGTGGCATGCACAACCGTCCTAGATCAGGGATCGTTCCCTGCGTTGCAAGGTGGACCCTTAACCACTGGACCACCAGGGAAGCCCTGATATGTGAATTATTTCTCAAGAAAGCTGCTTTTTAAAAGTTAAATAAAAAAGAATAAAGAGAGGCCTAGAAAAGACTCCAGCTCTACTAGAAGACTTCAGTGGGACACTGGGAAAAATCTGAAGGTGGTCTGCAGACCCACCAGCACCAGTTCCCCGCCCCCTCCCATTTTCAGCAAAAGTATCACAAGGCACTCAAAGAAACAGGAAAGCATGGCCTACTCAGAGGAAAAAAAACAAACCTGATAGAAACCATTCCTGGGCAAGACCAGACGGCAGAGCTACTAAACAAAACTCTAAACCAACTGTCTTAAAGATGTTCAAAGAGCTAAAGGAACAGGGACCAAGTCAGCAGAAGAATACATGAACATAAAAAGGACATCAATAAAGACAGAGGAAACTGAAAAGGAAGTTAACAAGGAAACCTGTAGTGAAACAGTACCGTAACTGAAATGGACAATTCACTAGAGGGATTCAAAAGTAAGTGTGAGCAGGCAAAAGATAAGAGTCAGAGAACATTAAGGCAAAACATTTGATAACCGAAAGAAGAAAGATTTAAAAAACTAAACACCACTTAGAGGACTTACAGCACCCTGTCAGGGGAGCCAGCATATGAACTGTGAGGCCTCAGGAAGAGGAGGGAGGGAGAAAAAGGGGGCAGAGAGATTATTAGAACAAATAACAGCCTAAAACATCCCAAATTTGATACAGGATATAAATCCAAGAGGTTAATCAAACTCTCAGTAGGATGCATTCAAAGAGAGTCACATTGAATCATCTAATCAAACTGTCCCAAGACAAAGAAAATCTTGAAATCAGCAAGACAGAAATGATAGGAACCCTCAATCAGATTACTAGATGTCCCATCAGAAACCAAAGATTCAAGATGGCAATATGCTGATACATTCAAGATGCTAAAAAAACGAAAAAAAAACCTTGTTCCCTAGAACTCTATATCCAGCAATACTGGGAGTTTGTTGACATGCAGCCTGCCCTGGAAGAAATTCTAAAGTGAGCCTGGTTGAAACAAAAGGTCGCTACACAGTAACTCAGGCCTACATGAAAAGAGAAAGGGGAAACGCACAGACGTTATAAAAGGGAGTGTTACGATACTGGTGTGTAACTCAGCGTTTACTTCCCACACAATTTTTTTTTTCGGTGACCCTCATCTCTCCTTGGTGTGTGTACATGCCCATCTCTCTGCAACCCTATGGACTGCAGCCCACCAGGCTCCTCTGAGCTTGGTATTTCCCAGGCAAGAATACTGCAGTAGGTTGCCGTTTCCTCCTCCAAGGGCTCCTCCTGACTCAGGGATCTAACCCAAGTCTCTTGCATCTCCTGCACTGGCAGGCAGATTCTTTACCACTGAGTCACCTGGGAAGCCCCACTTTCCTACACATTTTAAAGGCAAATGCATAAAACAATTATTCATCTATGTTTTATGCACAGAACATAAATATGTCATTTTGTGACATTAAAAAATTGTTAGCATCAAAAATAAATTTGGCAAAAAGTACAGGGTACAAAATCAACACAAGAAATTAAATGCATTTCAACATACTAACAGTGAACAATTAAGAAAAGAAATAAAGAAACTTAATCCATTTACTATAGCATCAAAATAAATAAAACAGTGAAAAATTAACTGAAGCAAGGTGAAAGATGTAAACAGAAAAGTATAAATAGTCCTTAAAGAAAACATAAATAAGTGTAAGGACACCCTATGTTCATTGGCTGGAAGACTTAACATTGTGAAGATGTCAGTACTGTGCAAAGTGATTTAAAGATCCAATAGAATCTCTTTCAAAATCCAAATGAATTTTTTTGCACAAAGAAAAATCCACACAGAAACTCATATAGAGTCTCAAGACACCCAGAATAGCCAAAAGGGTCTTGAAAAAAAAAAGAAGAACAAAGTTAGAAAATTTGAAACTTACTGCAGAGATACAATAATCAAAACAGTTGTCTGGCTGCTAAGTCGTGTTCGACTGTGCGACCCCATGGACTGTAGCCTGTCAGGCTCCTCTGTCCATGGGATTTCCCAGGCACGAATATTGGAGTGGGTTTACATTTAGGTACTTGCATAAGACAAATATCTGGAATAGAACAGAGCCCAAAACCAGACCTCACGTATGTGGTCAAGTGATTTTTGACAAGAGTGCCAAGACCATTTCATGGGGAAAGAACAGTCTTTAGAGGAAATGGTATTGAGAAAACTAGACATCTACGTGCAAAAAAATGGAGTTAGACCCTTGGTATTGTTCAGTCGCTCAGTCGTGTCCGACTCTTCGCGACCCCGTGGACTGCAGCACGCCAGGCTTCCCTGTCCTTCATCATCTCCTGGAGCTTGCTCAAATTCATGTCCATTGAGTCAGTGATGCGACCCCATGGACTATACAGCCCATGGAATTCTCCAGGCCAGAATACTGGAGTGGGTAGTCTTTCCCTTCTCCAGGGGATCTTCCCAACCCAAGAATCAACCCAGGTCTCCCACACTCCAGGTGGATTCTTTACCAGCTGAGCCACAAGGGGAGCAAAACCAAAAATAAAATAAAAATTAAAAAAATAAAAGATATTACTATAAAAACTGCTGGAAGAAAATCTAGGAGAAAACAGGAAGCTTAAAAGCACAGTCACAGAGAACAAATTGATCGACTGGATTTCATCAAAATAGAAAATTTCTACAAAAGATGGGGTTAGGAGAATGAAGAGAGCAGCCACAAATTTGGACAAAACCTTTGAAAAGCGTATTTATCTGATCAAAGATTTATATCCAAAGCACATAAAGAATACTTAAAACTGAACAATCAGAAGAAAAAAAAAAAACAAGAAAATGAGCAAAAGATTAAAACAGATACGTCACCAAGAAAGATTTATGACTGGCCAACAGGCACATGAAAAGGCACCAAAGCATCTTCCCTGGGGGCAAATCACAGGCAGCCGGCCAGAGTCACACACCGGACCACTTAAATTTAAGAGGACCTTGACCGTGCCGAGGGCCGAGGCTGAGGCTGTGGCTGGCTTGCACCGTGCGGTCAGGTTTCCGCTGTCTCATCCCCCGCCCGCACGCCCGCCCCGCGCCCCCTTCTCCTCCAGCTCCCCCCACACCCGGCCTGTTCCCATCTCCTCCGGCCTCCTCCGCGCCCGTCCGTCGCCCCAGCGCCCCCCGCCACGCCCTTTCTCCGCCAGCCCCCTCAGCGCTCCCTGCCAGGCAGAATGGGTGCAGCAGGCTGGACCCCGCAAGGGGCCCCGGATGGGGAAGATTCCCTGCTGGGTATCTGAGTGCGGGGTGTTACGGTTTCCTTTCCGTGAAACTCGCGCTCCATCCAAGTTTTTCTTCTAGGGTCCCCCGGCCGGTTCCAGCCTCACTGGGGCGCGCGCCCCGGCACACCGTCCTCCCCGGATCTCCGGATCCTCCCACCCCGAGCGCCGCAGCCCAGGCCCCGGGCCCCGCCGTTGCCGGCCCACCTGATTCCAGAGCATGAACAACACGCCAAGCTTCCCGGCCATGGTAACGCTGCCGAGGACCCTGCGGCGACCCTTAAATAGGCAGACCTGGCACCGCCCCCTCCGGAGCGTGACACCGCCGCCGCCCAATCGCGAGCGGGGTTCCGGGTGCCGGGCGTCCTTAGAACCGCCCTTTCTGCTTCCCGCCAGCGAAAGCCACGTGGGGTGGGGTGAGGGGCGCGAGGGTGGGGGGAGGGACCGTCGGCCCTGCGCTTCCCTGCCCGCACCACCAACCCCGCTTGCACGCCCCGGGGGCCCAGGCCCCAGCCCCCAGCCCAGCCCAGGCGGCTCCCGCGGCGCGCGCGCCCTCGGGCCCAGATGCCCCAGGGGCTCCGGCGAGTGTTCTGAGGCTGCTGCAAACCTCACGTCTGTCTCCCCTCCTCCCCCGACCCCCTCGGATCCTCTGAGCGGCTGGTTAGAGCCAGGTGGGTGGGATGCCCTGAAATGGATGAGAGGATTCAAGGGGGTGAGACCCTTCCTTCCTGCGGAGAGCAGGATAGAGCCCAGCACATCAACGGAGGTGGGGGAGGTGGGGGGCGGTGAGGCCCCTTCACTCCTGCACCTCCTCCAGCGTCCCGCGCCCCACCCGCGCCTAGAATCCCGTGCTCCAGGAGGGGCCGGCCAGCTGTTGAGTCTCTGAGCCCTGAACGGACTCAGCATCTGCTAGAAAGTCTTTCTACTAGAAGTTGCTGTCAGTTCCCCCAAAGCGGTGACAAGGTGAGGGGACAGTCACAGTGTAAGTTCCTCTCGCTGCTGTGGGGAACCTAGAGGGCAGGGTGTGGCCCTGGGCCCAGGCCCTCCTGAGTTTCCACCCTCCCTGACCCCCATTTCATCCTCTTCCTGCCCAGCTGCCCTGGGACACTGGCCAGCCACTGGATGGGCCAGAAAGGTGGTGCTGAGTGGGGTAGGGGGTGCAAAGCACAGCTCTGAACCCCACATCATTCTAGATTTTTCACCACCAGCATCTAGATGCCCAAGAGTTGACATGATGGACCCGGAAACCAAGTCCAGGTCCTCACTGCTTGGAGGAACTGCCTGACACAGAAGCGCATCCTAACCATCTATCTGGGCATTGGCCACCTGGTCCCCTGGGACTATGCCCACCCAGCTTTCTTGTCATTTTTCATTGTTGATTTAGACGAGTTCTCGGCCTACCAAGGACAGGAAGAGAATTCTGGAGGAGACTCGAGGCTGCAGGGGGCGGGGGTTGGAGGGGCTGGTGGCCCAGTCTGCCTTGAAAGGTCCAGGGTGCAAGACAGGTGGCCCAGGACATCAGGTAGAGAACAGGTTGAGGACATGGTGCTTGGGGGTGGGTATGTTCTAGGAGGGCCTCTGGGTCCTGCTTGGTTATAGTTCCAACTCCGTGACATTCTGAGAAAAAGCAAAATGATGGAGCCAGTAAAAGGATCAGTGGTTACTGGGGGCTGGTGGGAGGGGGAGGGATGGAAAAGTGAATTAATCTATTCACATCTAACCATAGAGACCTTAGGATGGTGAATTATTCTGTGACCCTGTAAATGTAGAAACATGGCCTAAGCATTTGTCTAAACCTGTAGAATGTACAACACGATGGGTGTACCCTAATGTACACTAAAGACTTTGTGCGCATGTATGCTCTGTGTCCTCACGGAAAGCTGGCTGTGTCCCCACGGAGGCCAGATATCCAGTGTATATGTGGATTCCTACCTCACATCGTATGGGCTTCCCTTGTGGCTCAACTGGTAAAGAATTCGCCTGCAATGCAGGAGACCTGGGTTTGATCCCTGGGTTGGGAAGATCCCTGGAGAAGGAAATGGCAACCCACTCTAGCATTCTGGCCTGGAGAATCCCATGGTCTATACAGTCGATGGGGTCACAAAGAGTCAGACATGACTGAGCGACTTTCACACTCACCTCATATAGTACACAGAAGGGAAGTCCGTGGGCATTAAACATGCAAATGAAAACCAGAAAACTGTAAAGCTGAGTAAGAAGACGCAGGTCAGTGTCACGGATCTGTGACTGGGGCGTGTGAAGGACTTCTCAAACAAGATGTAAAACCTACGGCTGGTGAGGTTCAAACCTGATGGACCTGATTCCACTGATACCAAGATTTCCATTTATGAAAGGACACCACAGACAAAGCCACAGGGACCAGCAGATGGAGGGGAGCTTGCACAGTGCCACAATGAGTCGTTCTAGAGCATGTGACCCTTGACTGAGTGGCTTCAAACCACAGCAACTTATTCCCAAGAGAGGAGAGACAGGCGCAGATGCACGGAGGAGGAGGACATGGGATGACCGCGGCAGAAACTGGAGGGATGGGTTTACCCTCCAAGAGCTGCCAGCGGCCCCTGGAGGCTAGCAGAGGGACGGAAGGACCCTCCGGGAGCCTCCGAGGGACCAGGCCTGTGAATCTTGACCCGACTCCTGGCCCCCAGACTGTGAGACAGCGTGACTCTGGTTTTAAGCCTCTCGGTTTATAGTCATTTAAGATGGCAGCAAAGACCCAGCCCCACCCCCTGGCACCTGGTCCCGGCAGAGTGAGGACACCGCGCGGGGCTGGCAGAGCCACGCTGCCTGAGCCCCACTGTGGGGGACGCTGGGTGCACGCACGGCCTCCAGGCCAGGCTCTGCTGCTCACCTCGTGGCACGCAGGGTCCCCCCCGAAATCAGGGTGCAGATCTCCCCAGGGGTTTCCCTGCCGACTGAACCCTGGGAGAGGAGCCTCGCTGGGACAGATGCTGTTGTCATCTCTCTTAACTTCCAGACTCACAACTGTCCTGCCTGTTCCAGGTCCACGGGGAGCTCGGCCGTCTCCACGGGTGCAGCGGGGGCAGGGGGGTCGGGCAGTGGGGACCACTCCAGGGCCCGGGCTCCTTCGCCTGCCACAGCCTGTGGGCCGTTGACATCCTACAGGCTATGCAGGGCCCTGGTGACGGCAGGGGCCTCAGTCGGGATGTCCACGCTGTCTTCGGGCTGGTTCGGATTTCCTCTCATAGGTACTGAAGACTCTGCACTTCCGTCCTGATTTGACGCATGCTGGATACTGAGTTTTGAGGCAGCTAAAAACACAAGAAAAGATTTTAGCATGGGTGATTAAGCAGGTGTCCCCCGACCCCAGGGAGAAGAGGGTCCCGAGGAGGCTCAGGCAGGGCAGGTCTGCAGAGAACGAAGCAGGGCCGATGGGCTGGGTCTGGCCCCAGCTCTGCCCTGACCAAGTGCTCGGGTGCCTTCGCCAGGACACAGGGCCTTTGGGTGGCTTGGGTTCCCATCGTGAACTGAATCAAAGATTTCTCCAGCTCAGGGCCCGTGGCTCCCGCTGAATCAAGAGCAGGGAAAGCGGCGGGATTGGAAGGCTCCGTGGTGGGCAGGGGATGGGATCCGGGGCTACCTTCACGGAGCTCGGGCTGATGGAGGAGGCACGCCCCCGGCCCAGGACCACGGTCACCATCTCCACGCATTCAGGGTCTCCTGTGAAGACAGGCAGCGGATGTGCAGTTAGCGGGGGGCAGGAGGCTCTACTCTAGGCCCCAGGGCTCCTGCAGCGCTGGTGTGCTCTGCATCCCTCCCCCGGCCCAGGGATCCTGCCAGGGACATCCAGGAGTGAGCCTGGCACGCCTCCCTCCTCACAGCTGTCTGGCCCCGATATTTCTAGAACCTCCCAAGAGGCCTGGGCTCCACCACTGGGTTCCTGCAGTGTGTGCGTCCCCTCGGAGCCTGCCCTGCACACGGCCTGGCCCGCAGGTTGGCCTGGGCCTCCGACACCCACTGCTGCGGGGGCCAGTGTGACTGCGCCCCGGTCCTCCGTCTCAGAGCCCTGGCCTAGCTGCTGACAGCTCTGTGCCAGGTTCCAGGCAGGGGCTCGTTCAGGGTGCCAGGACCCCCCAGCTCTGGAGACCAGGTGGCCCTGAGGATGGGCCTGGCCCTTCAAACTCAGCCTCCCCCATGTGGTTGCTTGCCCCTGCCAGAAGTCAGGCATGGGTGCTTTTATACCGTCAGGGAATCCAGCTCGTTTTGTGACCCAGAAATTCAGGCACATCACGACTAAGACAAAGCCCAAGCTTCCAAGCAGATAGCACCGGTGTCTCCTCTCTGAAGGGGAAAGACAGAAGACCCCCACAAGGTCAGCAGCCACAGGATAAAATAGAAACAGACTCAGCAATTCCACCCCCAGAATGTGACCAAAGGACCAGAGACAGGCCATGGACAGATCCCCGCACCCAGCGCACTGCAGCCTTCCCACCAGCCCAGGACACGGACTCGACCTCAGGGTTTATTGAAAGAACAGCCCTGGCAGGAGGACTATGCATCTATTTATTTTATTTTATTTATTTATTTATTTTTATTCATCTTCATTTTTTTTTATTTTTTTTTATTTCTTTCATTTATTTTTATTAGTTGGAGGCTAATTACTTTACATCATTGCAGTGCTTTTTGTCATACATTGAAATGAATTAGCCATGGATTTACATGTATTCCCCATCCCTGTCCCCCCTCCCACCTCCCTCTCCACCCGATCCCTCTGGGTCTTCCCAGTGCACCAGGCCCGAGCACTTGTCTCATGCACCCAACCTGGGCTGGTGAACTGTTTCACCCTAGATAATATACGTGTTTCAATGCTGTTCTCTTGAAACATCCCACCCTCGCCTTCTCCCAGAGTCCACAAGTCTGTTCTATACATAGGAGTCTCTTTTTCTGTTTTGCACATAGGGTTATCGTTACCATCTTTCTAAATTCCATATATATGTGTTAGTATACTGTAATGGTCTTTATCTTTCTGGCTTACTTCGCTCTGTATAATGGGCTCCAGTTTCATCCATCTCATTAGAACTGATTCAAATGAATTCTTTTTAATGGCTGAGTAATATTCCATGGTGTATATGTACCACAGCTTCCTCATCCATTCGTCTGCTGATGGGCATCTAGGTTGCTTCCATGTCCTGGCTATTATAAACAGTGCTGCGATGAACATTGGGGTACATGTGTCTCTTTCAGATCTGGTTTCCTCATTGTGTATGCCC